ATACACGTCGATTTAATTTATTTAATTTATTTAATTTTTTAAATAGCCAAATCCACAAACAAAAAGAAATATTTTAACTTTTAAATATATTTAAGTTACAATTTGAAAAATTGAATAAATTAAATAAATCTTTAGAAAAAAATAAATAAAACATCAAAATCTATCAATTTTAATTTACAAATGCTTTTTGCAATAAATATTTGAATTGAAAATTAAATCATTTGTGTTTGTTTCTTTTTACGAAATGATACCTAAAGGACCCTCGATCATATATATATATATATGTAAGGAAAGTAAGGTAGATGGCCCCAATCCCTAAGTGTAAAGCATTCGTTCGCAAGAACTATATTTTTAACACCTGAGACATGTGCGGAGGATAGAGACCATTTTACTCCATTTTCCACTTCTTTTTTGGAACAAACTCTGTGGCATTATGTCTTTTTTGATTTTTGCTTTTTGGGCTACTATACAACTTAACTTAGGGTTTGGGAACAGAGACCTTCGGATGACCTGCAGATGGGAGGTACACAGCGGTTTGCAATGGGCTGCGCCCGAGGGTCCCTCCGTCTCTTTGAGGCCCGGTGGTTGTGAAGTCCAGCGAACCTCCGCGCTGTTGTCCGAAAGCCAGCTCCGGGCCTCAGACGTTGCAATGGCTTCGGACCTTTAGACACCGAAGTGGCTCACGTGCCGCGGCCAGAACGTGCCGCACATGCGGTTAGGACAAGTGGAAAGCAAACCATGACCTCTCTACACCTCAAGATGAAATTCAGTGGTAAACATGTAGATCCCACCAAACATTTGCAGTCCCTTAGTTCCTAGTTATTCCTAGTTCCTCGCCACATATTAATTTGTGTTCCCTTGTTGCCAGCATTGAGGCACATCGAGGGCTGTCAGGCACCGTGGCAGCTGGCAGCAGAGTTGCGGTCAAGAGATTGCATTTCAACGCAACAGAAGGTACTTTGGATCCTGAGAGTGCCATGAATTTGGGATCAAGCGTAGCAGCAGCCGAAGTTGGGATCATCCATGCACCATTGAACAACAACTTCCTGGAGTACATGCATGGGTAAGCACCTAATTAAGTTTCTTAGCCTGGCCACTCTCAAGTGAGCACATTAAGCTATGTGAGCACAAGATGAAGTTGACACTTCAACTATAAAGAGATCCTTGGGTCTTCCAATGTCTTGGAGATCTCCTCGGCCTGATTCTTGGTCTCCAACGTCTCGCTCCCAACGAGGCACGCCCCACCCACCGAGGCGCGATCCTCGACGCGGTGCGCGGGGTGGACCAGGCGATCCTTGTCGATGCCTCCCGGCCGAAGCTCGTTCGGTGCGACCCGAGACCTGCGGAGACCTGTCGGTCGGATACGGAGATGTCTTCGGGCCATGTCACATCCAAGGCCAAAAGGAGATGAGAGCCGGGTGCGCTTCAGAGAGGTGTGGGCGACTTTTGGGGCGACCCAAAGGTCATGTGGTGCCGCGGATGTTGGCCAAACATAAAAGAAACATCGTTTTGTGCTACCGGATGGGTGGTTGACTTTGGTGGAAGTTGGGGACGGGCAGGACGTGGGACCCAAGTTCAAGGAAGGCGACTCGGTGGAGTACAGGCCGACACCTGCCTCGCTTGAGCGAAGCCGACACTTGACGCGTCGGATCAACGCAGCTGCTCTTCTCAAACCGTTCCTTGCCAGTGGAATTTGAAAAGACCAGTGAACAGAAGTGATCTCACTTTCTGATGTGACATGTGTTTTTTTGTTATACCAAATCGGCATGCAGTGGGCTCCTCAATGAATCAAGCTTTGTGGCTCTCACTGTCCACTGTCTCGTGAAAGGAGTGCCAGTACCGGCTGGATCCCGGCCAAGGTCCTGGTCGGAGGGGGGGTCATGATTGGTAGCAGATTGCAGTGGTGGCGGGGTGATGTGAAAGAGGGTCTCCATGGGCTGTGGGTCAAAGCCCCGGACCCCTGGTTGACCACAGAGAATGAACAGAATAGACGACTACGGAGGTCAACCTACCAGTGATATCAGGAATCTGAAGACTTGATGTGGCGGTTAAGACACTTGATCAGATGCCGATGTTTGAAGATGTTTCCTTCTTTTACTGTCGGCCTGGCCCAAGCTGATCGGCAGGTCCTGAAAGTGAAGGGCGACCTCTATGATTTGGACTGCAAACAAGATGTGCCACAAGTAGGATCCATTCGAGGAGAGCTCAAACTTGTTCATTGCTTCTCTCTCTCTCTCTCTCTTTCGCGCACAGGTACCTCCTGATAGAATGCGCATGACCAAGGAGCACCTGCATGGAACTATGACTCAAACTGGCTGTGTATGAAAAAAAGGGAGACCTCTCAGTTCGACGCCCTGGAAGAAGGACAAAATAGACCAGTCTACCCAGCCAGGGCCAGGGGGTCTCCCGGATTTAAAACATCCATTTAGAGTCAACTTTGGATGGAGCCCCATTCTTTGGAATGTTCTGTTCGCTTTTGCACGCAGGACTCGGAGAGTGCTTTCAGCTCTGGCCAGAGGCTCAGAGGCTCATGGCCTGTTGGAACTACAGATTGGTTCTGGGGATCTTCAGCCATGGAAGATCATGAACAGGTATATAAACAAATGTAAATCATTGTCACCAACAACGATCTAAAATATGTCCCTGATCCTGGTTTAGGTGCACAACATCATTGATTCACCTGTGCGCAACTGCACCATCGGGGCGTGAAACACGCTTGCTTCCGCCAAGGTGATTTGGTGGAATACTTCAGCGCCAGTCAGGCGAATTCCCTCGTCGCTTCTCGATCGAACCCGGTGGAACGTGGCCGTCCGCAGGGCAAGTGGATCCCGGCGAAGGTCCTGTCGCTGGGGCCGAGCAAGAAGAAATCATCGCGCGTGCGTGGTGGCGGGTGGTGGAAAAGGGGGGGGATTGTTGGAGGTCTGTGGATTGAACGTCGCTCGTTTGGGGCTTTCAAAAAGTTCCAAAAACAATCGATGAAGCCCCTCAAAACCGGCGTTCCGTTGAAAGCGGAAGGGGCGGCGTCCGATCTTTGGGTTCATGTTCCACCAGGTTTTTGCCTTCAAGGAACTCGTTGGGTTCATGTTTGGCGTCCGACTTGGACCTTCCGTTGGTGAACAGTTGATCTTGGACTCAACAGCAACATGATGCAACATGCGGAGGCCATCCACACGTCGAGCCACACGTGTGTCGTGTGGCGAAGTTCGAATTTCCCATGCCAAGGCTTCGAAAGCAGGATGGGAGACTGGATTTGGATTGCAAGCAAGATGCCTCGGCCTCAGAGCTTCAGCTGCAAACACACTGTCCTTTTTTAAAAGAAACAGACACCACGCACAGAGAAACCAGTCCAGTTGCACAAAAACTGTTACACTGTTGCACCCTGTTCCTTACTATGGCTCAAAGTTGGGTTCACCCATTTTATAGAGGACACATCTGGCCTCATATGGCCAAGTTTTCCTGTGTTTTCCTTCTTCTCTTTTGTCTGTGTCGTTTCTCTATTTTTTTGTTCACTTTCCATCGTGTGGTGCCAGTTGTGGTGCGAGAATTACATCAATCATGCAGCAACCCCTGTGAAGCTCCATTTCCTGAACCATCAGAAAGCTCATGAACACCTTAGTGAACACCTTAGGTCAATCTAAGGATGTTTCTTGAGGGCCCGCAACAGACCGCGCCGCAGGTCGTGATCACGAACGTCCGAAAGCCAGATGTCACCGCTGCTACGCCTCAGCCTCAGCCGTCTCTATCAAGAGACAAGCTCCGACAAGCCCGAACAGAGAAGGTTCTTGAGGTTGAAGCCAGACAAGCCCATGAAGATGCAGTTGCCTCAGGTGAAACAGGGTAAAACATCGACTGAGGCATCCTAGATTGGGTGGCCTGGTGGACCAAATATTTTGGCCAGGAGGAATTGGGGACCAATTGCACCTGCATAATAAAATCTGCAATGTACCTCTATAGACCAATAGACCATTCTAGACCATGGCGTAGTTCTTTCAACCGATTCTCAAGTAGAGCACCTTGCTGGGATTGGGAGGTCTCCTGACTGTCTCAGGTCCTTTGCGCCTGGCGATATGCTCAGATTTCCGGATGAAACATCCAGATCTGGCGACCGTGTCAGGTGGATGTAGTGCATGTCTTGAAACGAAATGGGATCTGTTGGATCTATTTGGTCGATGAATGATTGAACAAAACGATTGCTGGTGAAAGGAAACGAGCAAACAAGGATCGACATGGATTGACCGATGGTAAAGAGATGTGAAAAAGGATGCCTGACTCGCCTTTGTCCCAATCGAATACGTGGGAGGAGATCTTTACCCAGCAAAGAGTTGGATTACGCTAGAGGTGCTCCTTGAGGGAAAGGTACCCAGCACCGCTCCCTTACAATGGTTTCAGAGTACCAAGAGATCCCACCAGGTTCTGTAGGCCCCTTCCTAAATCTTCCTCTCCCCCATCATTGATTTGGTGGGGGTACTTTTGACGGGCTTGTATTTTTTGGGCTGTCAATCTTTTTGTTTCGAGTTGACAGGGTCGGTTTGGTTCTCATCCAGGATAGGAGGATCACTTTCATTCAATTTCATGGGCCTCCCACCACCCATCACAGAAGAGGAAGGAAAGACCAGGGCTGTACGGAGACCGAAGACCAGGATCACGGTGAAGGCAGGCGTGTTGTCGTTTCAGGACGCACCAACCTGGCATGGGGCCATACCCCATTGCAACAACGGCTCACACAAGACAAGAGTGGCTTGGATGGTGTGCAGAGCTGGTCGCTGAGTACAAGCAACGGCACCAGGCCTTGGAATGGAAAGGCCTGCAGAGTGAAGAAGCTCAGGAAGTGGGAGAACAAGAGCAGGACACTTGGGCTTCAACTGGGCCATTGCATCTGAGAGGCTATTCACAATGGACCTGAGTCATGCTGAGCACCCCAATGCAGATATGACTCCACTGGGCCTGCCCTCAGCATGTTGTCAGTGCCTACACATCAGTTCTGTCTTGACCACGCTGGAAGGCGAGTGAAGCATGTGCACGGGACCTCCAAGAATCTAGCCATCAATCAGATCATATTTGACACTCACAGTCACAGGTTCCAGTGAGTTCTTGATCGCTGTAGCTTGACGATCTGCTCATACAACTTGGTCTGGGCAAATGCCGCCTTTGAGACCACTTGAAAAAACCTGTGGAACGGGCAGGAGGATTCAGACTGAATATGTGGGTCCAAGTATGTCCACACGTGCATTTTCCACAGACTGGCATTATCATACCAAACGCAAGGTGCTTGTTTGAAAACATACCAGCTTAGTTGAAGACTTACAGAGGTATGACCCCAGGATCTCTCCAGCACGGTATCCAGCTATATGACGACCAGATGTACAAGACATCATGCGAAGAGTGGTGGTGAGCGGAACACGGCCGGAACATCCGTTTGGTTTTGCACCGCGAGTACTTGTAATTACTCTGAAACCACTGTAACTTGAAATAAACTAGATGCCTCATAGGTGCCCCTGTTGTTTCGATCTTCGCATCAGTGACCTTTTGCAGCATCACGTTCCACACACACACACACACACTCACTGAAATATTCATGGGAGTGGACAATGGCTTCGTGGATGACCATTTTCCTCTACCGACCGGTGGTTTTCCACTTCTAGGATTATTTCAGGGCGTATACGCCCCAAACGTAGTCAGGCTGCCTCACACGAAGACTCCAAAGCCGGCTGAGCAACTGCGGCAAAGACCGGCAATAATTTCGCGGCCTCCCTGACACTCCAAAGCCTGGTATGTCATTGATTTTCCTGAGGCGATCACGTGGAATATTACAGCTCCAGCCAGGCGACCGCATGTGACACGCGCGACACGTGCGCGTTCGAAAAACCAAAACGAGACTGCGTTGAAAAGAACAC